CACAGAGACTGGCGAAACGTTAGGAAGAACCACCTTCAGAACACGGCCAAGAAGCCCGAAAAACCCACAACAACCATGATATATACTGCCCTCACATTCAGGCCTTCTGGCTGAAACTTCTGTAGAACCATAACAAGAAGCAACACTTCCCCACCTCATGCTGAATTACAGCCAGCTTTGTTGTCTTCAGTTGCATCCACCCCAGAAAGACCGAAGAGCTAATTGGTTGCACACCTTTAAAGACCAGACACATCTCTGGGTGGAGTTGAATGTGTTCATCCTCTACTGCCCTCACATTCAGGCCTTCTGGCTGAAACTTCTGTAGAACCATAACAAGAAGCAACACTTCCCCACCTCATGCTGAATTACAGCCAGCTTTGTTGTCTTCAGTTGCATCCACCCCAGAAAGACCGAAGAGCTAATTGGTTGCACACCTTTAAAGACCAGACACATCTCTGGGTGGAGTTGAATGTGTTCATCCTCATTATCCTAATCATCATCATCATCCAAATTAAGAGTACTTAAACAGTGAGTCCAAAATTGCACAACTCAGGTCATTCTGTGTTCTTCTTCTGATTTCTTCAAGAGGACTGTATCATTATATTAATCAAAATCAAACATTTTTCCTTTCCATTTCCTTTAATGGTCTTGTGCCCTCTTATGTGCCTCTCCCTAAGACCCTCTGTTAGTTCTTGTTGGGAAGAAATGGAGAGTAATTTTATGTTGTCCGGATTTGCCTCAATGGGCAACAAATTAATTTCACCCAGCATCTTAATTTGTAAGGGCATGTGTATGCATTGTCTTCTGAAACACAGTGTTTACCAAGTTTATCCTGGACTACAGTTGATTTCTTTTATATTTTTCTTAAAGCCTTGGTTAGTACACACCATTGAGTCGCTCCCATTTTAGTCCACAAACTATTTATGTCTGGTTGAACATTCTGTTTTTAGTAACTCATACTTTTTGTATTTTTTCCCCTCCCTTCATGTCCTAATCGGGGCAATCTTCTGTTAAAAGCGGGGCAGCACTTCAGAGCTAGCTTTCTGTCTTTTCCGGTTTATTGAATTCAGATATATCATTCTGGAGAGTGGCCATGCTCATATGCTTACAAAATGGACAGCAGTTGTTCAGTGCTTGTAGTTAGGGAAGACACATATCTACTGATTCATTCTAGAGGAAACTATACCATCAATTTGTGATTAGTGCTTAGGCACTTAAAATGTCCTTTTCCTAGTCTCAAGCAGACATGCTCCAGGTTTTATCTGCACACCACTCATGCTGGCCAGACACAGCTTCCCTGATGGGGATCCTGCAAAAGGTAACCCATTTGATCAGGTTAGCAGACTGTGAGCCTCATAAGATGAGCCAGGAGGACAGAGAGATAGTTGAGGTAATGAAGGCTTGCAAGCTGGCCCAGGGCAGAGCAATGATGCAACTGAAATTGGAGTCCCTTCTACAGAGAATCATAGCATGATAGAATCATCATAGGGTTGGAAGGGACCTTGGAAGTCTTCTAGTCCAACCCCTGCCCAAGGCAGGAGACCTCATACCATCCCGGACCTCATACCATCCTGGACAGATGGCTGTCCAATCTTTTCTTGAAAACCTTCAGCGATGGGGCACCCACAACATTGGGGGTCAAGCTGTTCCACTGCTGAATGGTTCTCACCGTCAGGAAATTCCTCCTTATTTCCAGGTTGGATCTCCCTCTGACAAGTTTTCACCCACTGGTTCCTGTCCTACCCTTAGGCCTAATGGAGAATCAATCAATGCCCTCTTCCCTATGGCAACCCTTCAGATATTGGAAGACTGCTATCATGTCTCCCCTCAGTCTTCTCTTCATTAAGCTAAACATACCTAGTTCTCTTAGTCATTTTAGTCAAATCAGGCATCTATATCTGTTAAAGCTACACAAAATTGTTATAACTAATTTCCTGGGAATTGGTGGTGGTGTATGCTAAAAAAAAAATATTCTGGACATGATCAGAACACTTTTTATTTACTCCCTACATATTTTTTCTCTGAATTCCCTTTTTATAAAACCCTTCAATATTCAGTACCAAATTATTGATCTTTTATCACAAGTAATGTACAGCATTCTTATTTGAAGCTAAACATACCTAGTTCTCTTAGTCGTTTTAGTCAAATCAGGCATCTATATCTGTTAAAGCTACACACCATTGTTATAACTAATTTCCTAGGAATTGGTGGTGGTGTATGCTAAAAAAAATATTCTGGACATGATCAGAACACTTTTTATTTACTCCCTACATATTTTTTCTCTGAATTCCCTTTTTATAAAACCCTTCAATATTCAGTACCAAATTATTGATCTTTTATCACAAGTAACGTACAGCATTCTTATTTGGGTGTTGAATTTGGGCTTTACAAAAGGGATGCAGAAGTAGATGAAGGACATTGGTTGAACTGCTTGACTGAGATCTCATATTATAAATGTTTTTATGTTTAAGGTTCTTTAACAGCAAAAAAAACCCCACAATGACTATTTTTCTGCAAGAGATGACAAGCAACCTGGAAAACATACAGAAAAGTACCATATCTTATGCAAGTTGCCCCTTCTCTGAAGCAGAAAGTTCAGGCCAAAAGCCTAGCTCTCAGAATATGTTGATGGGATGAGGAAAACCACAGCATTATTTAGCATACAGTGGTGCCTCGCTTAACGATGTTAATTCATTCCAGCGAAATCACTGTAGAGCGAAAATGTCATAAAGCGAAAATAAAAAAAACAATCGAAACACATTAAAACCCAGTTAATGCGTTCCAATGGGCTAAAAACTCACTGTCCAGCAAAGATCCTCCATACAGCAGCCATTTTCGGTGCCTGTACAGCGAGGAATCCGTCCCTAAGCCCAGCGGGGAGCCATTTTGAGCACCAGGTGGTCATTTTGAAAACCTGAGGATCAGCTGTTTTGATCGTCGTAATGCAGAGAATTGGTTCCCGAAACAGGGAACCGATCATCGTGCAGCGAAATTCCCCCATTCAAAACATCGTCGTGAAGCGGATTCATCGTAATGCGGGGTAATCGTTAAGCGGGGCATGACTGTATCTATATTGTATAGATGTGGACTGTACAAAATCGGTAGGACTGTTCCAGATAATGATTCAGAACTTTGTGAAACTAATGTCCTGAATTCTTTCTTTCTCTTAGGTATGTCCACAAAGAACCTGGAAGCTGAGGGTAACATATCATCAGTTGCAGCTTACTACAATGGGAAGTCCGTCCTTGTTACAGGAGCCACAGGATTTATGGGCAAAGTACTAATAGAAAAGCTTCTGCGCTCCAGCCCTAACGTGAAGGCTATTTATATTCTTGTGAGACCCAAAGCTGGACAGTCGATGCAAAACAGAGTGGAGAACATGGTGAAATGCAAGGTAAGGATTTTAACTTCAAATAGAAACAAATGGGAATTGGTGATGTGTGCTCGATAACAGCAGCTTAGAATTCTGGGGTATTCAAAAGCTTTTCACTGTAGATACAATTTGCATTAGTTGCAGAAATCACAGATGATCATTAAATTTTTATTTAATAATTATATATGGCATCTTACAAGGCTTATCCACAGATTCAGGGTGAGTCTGTAAAGATAATGGGTGACAAGCTGGATCGAGTCAGCAGACTTTGCCTTATTTTGGTACATGAGATATAGTGTCTTACTATTTCCTACTTACGTGCAATTGTAGTTTACCATCAAATTGCCTCCAACATAGGGTGATTCTATAAATGAGCAGCCTCCAAAATATCCTGTCATGAAAATTCCTATCATCTCCACTTCCTGCACACTCAAGGTTGTGGGTTCCTTTATTGAGTCAACCCACCTTTTCTTGCTGCCTTCAACTTTTCCTCGCCTTATCGTCTTTTCTCACAAGTCTTATCTTATGATGTCCCCAAAGGACACCAGGCTCAGTTTTGTCATTTTGTCTGATTTCAGTTTTCCAGAAGAAAACACTGTGTAACTGACTGAAAATATCTGATTCTTGTACCCTTTAGTTTAAAATTCAATTTTGTGATTTATAGCTTCCAATTTACCTTGAGCCATAGTTCTCATGTTCCTTCTTCCTATTATATGTGTCATGGGCATCAGACACAGAGTCCTTTTGCATCTGTGCACATCAGCTACTAACAACAGTACTATTAATACTTGTGGTTTGCTCTTTCTCAGTAGTTGGTTGAGTGTCTTTTGACCTGAGTCTTATCTTCTAATACCACCATGTTTAATTTTGGATTGTCTCATCAAGGTTCAAAACATTCAGAAATGGTTTACCACATTGCCTTCTTATGTATGAGACTAACAAGAGTTAGTCTGTCAGTGCCATTGTCTGTGAAAGATCTTCTGCCAGTATCACCTTCAATTATTGCTTCTGCCCAGTAGCTGCCATGCAAGAATTTATCTCTCCTCATCACCACTGGAATTATCAATTTTCTTCTCTTGTGACCATTAATTATGAAGAGAGTGTGTCCATCTTAGTGTCCTGTCTCAGCTTTGATCATTCTGCCTTGGATGACCCTGCTAAGAGACCAGACTTATAAAGGGATCTAGCCTCCTAATGGCATTGGTCTTGGCTTTCCTTACAAACTCAAACCCCCTCACCATGATAAGGTATGCATCCAAGAGAAAGCCTACTCATAAAGAGCCCAGCATATATAGGACTGATAGTATCCAGAGTGGTAGAGCAATAGCTATTAACATGTATTCTTTGCTTCTCAAAACAGGGAAGTGGTAGAGACTGCATGTTGATGTATGAAAGAGGGCTAGATGAGGGAGGCTGTGATCCTCCTGGGCAACCCTGTTTTGATTCTACACAGTGTCATGAGTGTGTGTACCCATTACCCTAATAGTACATTTGTTGATAACTCTTATTTGTCTCTGACAAATCAGTTATATAATTTATAAAGCAGATAAGGCCTATATCAGAAATCTGTCTGGCTCCCTCACTGGGTATTTTTAAGAGCAAACTTAAGACCTGGCTCTTTAGGCAGGTTTTCCCTCCTGTCATCACTTGAATATTTTTCCCCATCTTGAAATATATTACGGTTGTTGTTTTTATTTTATTATATTGTTTTTATTCAATTTTTTTATTGTTAGCCACCCAGAGTAGATTTTGGTCTAGATGGGTGGGGTATAAATTTAATAAATAAATAAATAGAAATCAGTCATTAGTTTTTAAAATGTTTTTGCCTATTTCAAAAGGTTCATAGTTTTATGTCATTTTGTCATGGTTGTTGTTGTTGTTTAGTCGTTAAGTTGTGTCTGACTCTTCATGACCCCATGGACCAGAGCACGCCAGGCACTCCTGTCTTCCACGGCCTCCCAGAGTTTGGTCAAATTCATGTTGGTAGCTTTGATGACACTGTTCAACCATCTTGTCCTCTGTCGTCCCCTTCTCCTCTTGCCTTCACACTTTCCTAACATCAAGGTCTTTGCCAGGGAGTCTTCTCTTCTCATGAGATGGCCAAAGTATTGGAGCCTCAGCTTCAGGACTTGTCCTTCCAATGAGCACTTGAGGTAGATTTCCTTCAGAATGGATAGATTTATTCTTTTTGCAGTCCAGGGGACTCTCAAGAGTTGCCTCCAGCACCACAATTCAAAAGCATCAGTTCCTCGGCGGTCAGCCTTCTTTATGGTCCAGCTCTCACTTCCATACATTGCTACTGGAAAAACCATAGTTTAGACTATGTGGACCTTTGTCGGCAAGGTGATGTTTCTGATTTTTAAGATGCTGTCTAGTTTTGTCATTGCTTTCCTCCCAAGAAGCAGGCGTCTTTTAATTTTGTGGCTACTGTCACCCTCTCTAATGATCATGGAGCACAAGAAAGTCAAATCTGTCACTGCCTCCATATCTTCCCCTTCAATTTGCCAGGAGGTGATGGGGCCAGTGGCCATGAACTTACTTTTTTTGATGTAGAGCTTCAGACCATTTTTGCACTCTCCACTTTCACCCTCATTAAGAGGTTCTTTAATTCCTCCTCACTTTCTGGCATCAGAGTTGTATCATCTGCACATCTGAAGTTGTTGATATTTCTTCCGGCGATCTTAATTCCGGCTTGGGATTCCTCCAGTCCTGCCTTTTGCATGATGTATTCTGCATCTAAGTTAAATAAGCAGGGGGACAATATACAGCCCTGTCATACTCCTTTCCCAATTTTGAACCAGTCAGTTGTTCCATATCCAGTTCTAACTATTGCTTCCTGTCCCACATATGAGCGTAGATTTCTCAGGAGATAGATAAGTTGGTCTGTAGATTTCTCAGGAGATAAGTTGGTCAGACACTCCCATTTAAGGACTTGCCATAGTTTGTTGTGATTGACACAATTAAAGGCTTTGACTGTCGACACAGTCAAAGGCTTCATTGCATAGTCAATAAAGCAGATGTTTTTCTGGAACTCTCTGTCTTTCTCCATAATCCAGTGCAGGTTAGCAATGTGCTGGATTATGTCATGGAGGCACATGTTATTTAAACACGATGCATTTTATAAATCTGAATCATGATTCAGGATGGCTGCATTCCTGCTGCTTAACTGTGTTCAACACATTGAAATTATGAACTGGAGCATGACAATTCAGATGTGTAGCAGTTTGTCAGATGAATAATACGCCACCATGAGCATCCAAAGACAGAGAGGAAGGAAGGAAACCCGGGTCAATCTACACAATCCAAAGACAAGGATGGGTGATACCTTCATTAGATATTGATTAGATGTGTTATGTATTGGATATTGTGATGTATCTATCACCTTTATCTTCTGAATAGCTTGTTACTTTCCTTTTTGAATCACAAAGACCTGGTAGCTGTCAATAGCATGGCTAACAAGGCCTTTCTCACAGATGGCATACATCCCTAGGCAGGGATGGTGAAATAACATGTTATCCAGAACCTTTTCATTAACAGTACACAATTCTACTCCAGCTCGTGATTTTCCAAGGAAAATATTTTTTTTTACTGAACTAAAATTGGAAACACTTTGTGCAAGAGCAACAAATATCTACTCTGAGAAGAGTCTCTCCGTCCTTCCCCCCCCCCCCAAGTCATAGATTTGGGCTTGATTCTACAGATAGAAACAAAACAAGCCCAGAGCTGTGGTTTCTGCACACAGGCAACAGGAAACCTCCACTGGAGGTAGATTTGTGCTGTATCTTTGCTTTTTGAAAGAAATGAGTTCCTAGTACACCCATTGCAGAGATACAATAGAATTATCCACAGAGCATATTCTCAACTGAGGCTAAATGAGTGGATGTAAAGGCAGGCAGAACAACAAATCAAACAACGGTCTGCATTCAGTGAATCTCATCTGCATGCAGAACGATTTTATATTCAACCTCCCTTTATATAATCACTTTGATATTTTCAGAATTTCACATGAAACAAGGCAAGTGGCTCTAGCACTAGACTGAAAAGAAGAAGCGACAGTGGCCACCCTTGACGAGTGTACTGCGATGCTTCAAGGGAGAAAACATTCCCTTAGTCATTATATGAATGAGGAACTATATACAGCATAACATACTCATCCGAGAAACAAAACTACAGTGAAATCCATATTTCATCATATAAACAATGGATCCCCCCCTCTCCCCACACTGTCAAACAGTTTCTTGGCGATCGATCGATCGATCGATCGAATGAACGAACGAACAAACAAACGAATGAATATAGATTTTCCATATTTCTACAAAGGAAGCCACAGGCTTAAGTCTACAAGAGCTGAGCAGGGCAGCTGAGGACAGGACATTTTGGAGAGCACTCATTCATAGGGTGGCCATGAGTTGGAGGTGACTTGATGGCACATGGCAATAACAGCAACAATTGTGAAAAGTGTAATATTGTCTAATTCTGGACACCTGTAAGTAATTGCCCTCTGGCTTGAATTGATAATGGTAAGCAGGATAAAAATATTCCAGAACTTCTCTTTAAAGCACCAGATGTCTTGGAATATGGTACCTAATATCCTGAATGAACAGTTCTCTCTATGCCAATCTATCAGTGACTTAAATTCATCTGTGGGGGCTCTTTTTAATGTACTTCCACAGTACATTAAATGTTCTGTATGGCATTGTGAGATAGACCCATAACCAAAAATGTTGTCATCCTTTTGATGTCAGGTCAAAACATTTTTATTTGCCATAGCAATTTACATTTGATGATAATGTTGTTCTTGATGATGATGGTAATCTGAGAACTGCAGAGCTGGAAGGGAGCCTATGGATTACTGAGTCCAGCCCCCATCAAGAAAGCACAGTGGGAAATTGAAGTCCCAGCCTCCACAGCTGGATATTGAGTTATCCAGCATATTCTGTTGGCTAACCTGCTTTAATCACTCCAGGTTTATTTTATTTTATTTTATTGGCTTTTTACTTTGTGTTATTTTTAGTCTGAGT